ACGAACCCAGATAAGATAAGTTACATCTTTATTGTTCCACCACGTACACACATGCACACACACATTCAGACACACACACACACGCACACATTCAGTTCAAAATCATGAAAACCTAGAACTGCCATACTCTAAGGGATATTGAAATCTAACTGCTTTTAAAATTTGAGGTCTGGTGAGAGTGTGATTTCTTCTAGAAAGTGAAGCAAAAATCAGGCTACCAGTATTATATTTTGTATAGATGCTGCCAGCATGTGGTGACTAATTGACTGTGAATGTTTTAAGACCCATCAACCCAATTCGGGTCCTTAAAGGGGCCAACAGCTTCAACCCTGTTCTTTAGGGCCAGTGTAGGCCACAGGGGAAATTAAATCCAAGAAGAAAGACAGAGGTATTCAACAAAAAAGTTTCACCAGAGAAGACCGCAAAGCGAACTACAGGAGAGTGGCTATTAAAGGAAACGCACCATCAGCCAACTTATCCTGAATCAGCTCTCTTACTGGGGCCAAGTTTCCAAAGCCAGCTCGCATCGGGTCCTTGACACAGCCAAACACTTCCATGATGATCATGTACATCTCTTTTCTGTGCTCTTCTGGTATACCCTGCATCAACGGATTCAGCTGTCAAAGGAAAAGCGGGTAAGAATTAGTTAGCTCTTTAAAGTGACTGTTTAATGACAATATCCAAATCAGTTGGTCACGTAAACCCCGTAATCTGAGTAGATTATCTGGCTTCAGGTTTTGCAATTGACATTCAAATGGTTAAAGATACAAACGTTTGCGAAAATCTGTGCACAAATATCTTTAAAATGATCAGACTTAGGGATAGACTGAAAAAAAAATGTTTAAATATAGAACAGTGGAATTGGGTGCGTATTTGTTGCCAACGTGACAGTGTAAACACGACAACCTAAGCCATTTGTTTCTTTCAGGAACCAAGGGGCACAAAACAGGTCAGATAAGGTCAGTGACATATATTAAGGTCATCATCAATGCCTTTCACCCCTGGCAGGGTATAGGCCACATACAAGCTCCTTCCATTATCTCTGTCCTGAGCCATCCTTCCAAGCTCGTTCCAAGTGAGCTTCATTTCTCTCATGTCCCTTTCCACGCATCTCCTCCATGTTTCCCGTGGCCTACCCCTGCCTCGTGCTCCCTGGGGGTTCCACTGCAGTGACTGTCTTGTGATGTTTCCGCTGGGCTTTCTTAAGGTGTGTCCCATCCATCGCCACTTTCTTAGTCCTATTTCTACTTCTATATCCTTTTGTCCTGTTCTTTCCCACAGCTCTTCATTTCTTATTCTATCCTGCCACTTAATTCTTAAAATACTCCTAATACATCTGTTGATGAAAGTCTGGACCTTATTCTGATATTAAGGTCAGTGACATATAAAGTTAACAACAAATAACGTCAGTGACATATAAAGTTAACAACAAATAACGTCAGTGACATATAAAGTTAACAACAAATAACATCAGTGATATATAAGGTCAGTAACAAATAAGGTCAGTGACACACAAAGTCAGTTACAAATAAGGTCAGTGACATATTAAGTCAGTAACATACAAAGTCAGTAACAAAAAAGGTCAGTGACATATAAGGTCAGTGACATAGCTTTGAGATAAGTGATCACTGGGGTGTTTCCTTCACCAAGTCACAATAACCCAAGCTGATAATGTCAGTAATATCAGAGACACAGGTTTTAGATGGATGTCTACAGAGGCATCCTTCAGCAAGACATGATAAAGCTACGACAAAAACAATGTGACAACATGTCGGTGACACAGCGTTAGATGGAAAATCACAGCTAGATATAATGTCCGAGAAGATCAGTAGCCTAGTGTTGTAACCAATGTAAACTACCGCTAGGTCAGCGAGTTATACGCGCCGATTCAAAAGTGGGAGAAGCCTGCCCTTGGCACATGACGTAAAAAAGAATTGTCCCGTTTTAGTTGTCGGTCTTGGCTAGTACCACAAAAAACTTGACTTCATGAGCTTGGAATGGGATGGGGCACCTGCAGAAGTTCAAGACTTAGTGGGAGGAACAGAAGGCTATGGAATCAAACATTGCTTGGAACCGTCAGCATCTACACACTTCGAGATGTGCTTCTTCAGGGGACGGAGCGCTTATGGGGATGGCCTTTGTGTAGTGATGTCGGTCCTTCACACCAGTAACAAGTAACAAGTAACCATTTAAAAAAATTTTCATATCTCTAATTTGACTTATTTACTTCCCTATTCTGAGCAGGACAGGGCACCTAGATAGCCCAATGTCCTATCAGCAGAGGCTGCCACACTTGAACTGAACAGGTGCCACTGATCTACCACAACATCTGTGGCAATGTGATCATCTGTTTTCTTTGTACTTACATTACCTTCCACTACACTATCTTTTGAGCCGATCTGTCAATTGATCCTCCATCCCCCACACTTAAAGCTAGACAGGCAGTCAGGCAGCTGGGTAAGTAAATAGATAGCTAGGATAGAGGAACAGACAAACAGACAGATAGATTGACATATACATGCAAGACAGACAGACAGACAAGCACAAATATACAGGCGAAAAAGATAGATTGATGGACAGATGGATAGAAAAATGGTTTACCAAACTAAGGTCATCTGCTTGTAGAATTTGTAAAGCTTGCTGTGAGTCCTCGAATCCGTAGCCAGAAAATAGCGTAGAAAAAAGGCGGATGATTCCCACAATATCAAACTGGACACGTCTTGCTTTCTTCTCACCAGACAATGCCATGAATCTTCGGGCCGACTCAAAATCAATAACTTTCATGGACATGGACTTCGTATACATGACGTTGCTCTCTGCAGGAGACAAAAAGAAGAGGGCATTTTCTGCTGTAAGAAAATATGTTGATGAGGTTTTACATTTTACCACATTGACACAATTGGAGCTGAATAAAAGATATGCACCAACAAACAGAGAAACCACATAGCACATAAGGGTAGCAAAGAAATAGAATCAACTAGTAGCACCCTTCAACCATCCTCAAAAGAGGAAAAACTCAAATTAATTTGAGTCATGACGCAGTGGAATCTGGCACTCATCAATTTTAGGGCATGTGAAGATGTTGGCATCGTCTTAAAGCTTCTTCACTTGTCTTGCTTTAGATTTTTTTAAACACCACCAGATATTTTGTGATTGAAGGAGGTGAGTGGTTGCTTGTTTTCAGAGGTAAAGTTGGCGAGAAAATGGCTGCCAAAGTTGGGAGACTTCCATAGCTTGATAGTTGTTGGAAGCTGAACATTTATATTTTTGGTGCTTTTTATCAACATTTCTCAGTAAAATCCACACAAAAATGTGCTTTTAAATGGACATAAAAGGAGTTGTGTTAAAAAACAAAAATTCAATAAAATTTCCCAAACTTATGAAAATAATGCAGTTTTTTCTATTTTATTATTTAGACGAGCACCTGATTTCTCAAAGCGTCACATTTGGTGTAATGCTGTTTGTGGGTGATGCTGTTTGTGGCGATGCTGTTTGTGGGTGATGCTGTTTGTGGGTGATGCTGTTTGTGGGTGATGCTGTTTGTGGCGATGCTGTTTGGTGTGATACTGCTTTAGGGTGATGCTGTTGTGGTGATGTTGTTTGGTGTGATGCTGTTTGGTGTGATGCTGTTTGGTGTGATGCTGTTTTAGGGTGATGCTGTTTGGTGTGATGCTGTTTGGTGTGATGCTGTTTTAGGGTGATGCTGTTTGGTGTGATGCTGTTTGGTGTGATGCTGTTTTAGGGTAATGCTGTTTGGTATGATGCTGTTTGATGTGAAGCTGTTTTAATGTGATGCTGTTTTAATGTGATGCTGTTTGGTGCGATGTAGTTTGGTGCAGTGTGGTTTGGTGTAGTGTGGTTTGGTGCGATGTGATTTGGTGTGATGTTGTTTAGTAAGATGCTATTGGATTGGCGTGGGTCTTTTGGTGTGATTCCATTTGGTATGAAACTGGTGTACTGCTGTTTTGGGCGATACTGTTTGTAGAGATACTGTTTCACTGAAGAGTAACTGATGGATTGGTGTGATATTGTTAAGTGCGATACTGTTCTATGTGATACTGTTTCATGTGATACTGTTTTGTTGTGATATTTTTTGGTGTGATACTCTTTGGTGAGATGAAGTTTTTGAAGTGGTATGTGAATGTAGAGGCAATTTGTGTGGGGTAAGACTGGAAACCTAGGATGTTCGTTCTGATACTTTTCATTTACCATTTGCTGCATGTATGTGAAAGGGACCTTGGGGCTCACCGTGCAGTAGTGGTGTAGTGAGCGCTCAATACCGATTCATTACCTGCTAGCACAGAAGAAGTCCAAAAAAAAACCGAGCTGATCGTTTTACGAGCGGTGGGTTAAACGAGTCCCTAACGCTATAGACCCAAAGTGTACCGCTGATTACCCCGAGCTCGGCACATTGGGTGCTGGTGGGACAACGATCCGTGGACAAGGAGAAGCTGCGTGACAGGCTAAGCCTGATGATGGGCTAGCTGTATCACAGTGTCGCAGCAAGCGCTCAATAGGCCTACAGCTAAGCTAACCAAATCGAGAAACAAGCAAACCGGTTGCAGACATCGGATGCCAGGGTGATAGAATCAACCTGTGCTCGGGGTGTGCATTGTTTCTTGAACTTCAACAAGCAGGGCGCTGGCAGGATAGCATTGTGACGTCATGAACGAACTGGCCAAGACTAGCATTGCCAGCTCAATTATCTTTGCAGTGTACCAATCAACTTCTGCCCTCCCAGTCCCATACAGCCAGTGATTTGTTTGTTTGCTAGTCTATTTGCGGACACTAAAAACGAGTGCTTGTTAATTCGTGAAGAATAATTTTTGCAGGCAGAACTCAAACACTACTGTACAGTGACATTGGATCCCTACCATACATGTCCCCGTGCGTGAACTGTTCACCATGCATCTGTTCTTCAAACAGGGTTAGAAGGTCCTTCAGAACAATGAGGGAGAAGGGACGGGTCAGGTCAGAGGCAGGTTGTTGGGACCACAAATCATCCATGATTTCCGTCAAGGTTTTACCTGTCGATAGAGAGACAAATAAAATAAAAGCACATTTGTTTGCAAAACTCTATGAAAGGTAGGGAAAGTATATATAGTGTAACAAGGAATAGTTATTGAAATAGTTTGAATAACTAGAAAGCTAAAAGCTAAATAAAAATTACGGAAAATTGCTAATATCTCAGATCATGCAGTTCGTGTACCAACTAAATGCTGCAATTCCTTTCAAATGGGGCACATACACAAAACAAAATACAAGCCTAGTTCATACGTCTATGCCCCAGATTCTTTTATAAGTTCAGTCCATCTTTTATATATACTACTTTTTTTAGATGTTTTAGGTTTTGGGTATTTCTTTATAATGAAATCAGCAAAACATGCAGAACGCAAAAGGTTGAAGAATGTCAGGATCCTGTCCCCTCCCCCTTTCAAAAGAATTTTTTTTCACACAAGTAGGATAACTGATCAGGCTTTCGATTTAGCAAATTTAAAAATTCGGCGCCAAAATGAAAAAAAGGGTGTTTTGTCAGCTTACCGCAAAAGAGAACTTTTGGCATGAGAGGCAAGCAGGCTACTCCCATACCACATGAACCCCATGAAAGTCCTTTTTACATGACTTCACTCACCTTTAATTATCTCCATTTTAAATTCAACTTTGTTTTCAACAATCCGAAAGCTATACAGCTCCGGAGCCAAGCCCTTGTCTGCCAGGTGAAGCCATGTGCGAATGATGTCACCATGAAACGAGGCGATCATGACCTTGGGGGTCGGGGTCATGGTGAAGGTAGAAGAGAGGATACTTTACTTTTACTTTTTCATCCTCAGTAGTCATAAAGCGTCGAGGGGAGATGCAGTTTTCTAAGGTAGGCCAGCTCTGCAGCTTTTTCAATTGGAATACCATAATTTCTCAGTTTCCTTGACTCAATTTATCTTTTGCGTGATCTACCTCTTCCTTTATATCCTGAGTACTTGAAGTTAAGCTCTCGAGGCTGGCTAGCTAGGAGGCATTCGTAACAGGTGGCCAAACCATTTTCTGTTTTTCTATGAAATGCAGGCAGGGCTCAATGTCAATAGTTGCTCTCTTACTTCTTCATTTCTGTGCCTGTCTCTATGGATGTTAAGGGTTTTGCAGAGAGAGGATGCTGTATGTTTATGCAGAAAGTTGCACATATGCGACTGAAAAATAATAAGTGATTAGTGGAGGAGGAGGAGGAGGAGGAGGAGGAGGAGGAGGAGGAGGAGGAGGAGGAGGAGGAGAGGATATACCTGGTAAGGAGAACACCATTTTATTGACCTCTCGTTTATCACGAGGCTAAAACATAGGGCAAGGACTAAACCAAAAGACCTACCATTTTGCAGGCACTTTCCTTTCCTGTTTTAGGATCAGTCACAATGTAGATCGCACCATTACCCCCCTTCCCTAAAACTTTAGCAGTTTCAGGAAGCTGATGGCCAGGAGGAAGGGAGACCTACAAGAGGAGAATTACAAGACAATTTTAAGAATTACAAGACAATTTTAGGAATTACAAGACAATTTTAAGAATTACAAGACTGCATTGCAGCAGAAGATCACTGAACAGATAACAAAAGTAAAACCCACCAGCTATCAAATGTTAGATAATATTTGTTTCTATTTCTTCAGTGAAATTTTTTTATTTGAGTTAGCGAGGTTCCACTAGAGAGTCTATGAATTGCAGATCTAAGGGAGGTGTGGAAACTTTGTGATAGAATAGCAAATAATGGCCTTTCAAAGAGAAACATTTGCACATATTGAGGCAACAGAAATCTTCTCTAGGAATTCAGGGAACATTCATAAAAATCGACACCAGAAATGATACGGATCATTTGCACAATTCTTACAAGAAACAAGACAAATTTGTTGTTGAACACCTACACTAGAATCATCAAGGATCATTTGTAAAAATCTACAATGGAAACAAAAGGGATCAATTATTTTGTAAAAATCTACAATTGAAAGAACATGGATCATAATTTGTTAAAATTATACTATATAAAATCCACTTAGATTTATAATTAAAATTTGTTAAAGTCTGATTAGAAACAGCACCATGGATCAAATTTCAGCATCCACACTAGACACATGACTCAAGAGTAAAAATCTACAACAGGCACAGTATGGATCATTTGTTGATGTCTCACACAGGAAATAATATATATGGATCACTTGTGAAATTTCTCTATGGAGTCTACTTGAGAACAGTATTATGATTTTATTTAAAATCTACAGGACAAAAGATCTGGGCCATTTGAAGAAATAACGTAGATCATTTTTGATGAATTTAACTTTACTTAAACTGGTTTATTCAGATACTTTTAACCTCTCATCTTCCATCAATCATATTGTGTAGACCGCAAAAATTATCTAAAAAGCAGAGAAAGTATGGTATGTATCCAGTTACCTCCTTTTTGTTCAACACAAGTCCTGAGGCAGCCCTTCGGACAAGCAATAATTCCAATAGCTCTATGAATGCCTCCACTTCCTCGTCTCGCCTAGCAGCATTGGCAAAACGCACTTTGTTCGACAGATCTTTCGGAACCGACTGGTTGGTCCTGTTGTGACATGATTCAGAGAAGTTTTTGCATTTTTAAGGTGACTTTTCAAGGAAGGATTCAACTGCAAAAGACACTATAAAGTGGACCAGGCTATAAAAGGACTGCTGAGACCGATGTACCTGTTATAGCCGAATCCTGTTAGAGATCCAGAGAAACATTAATTGTTGCTATACTGATTTGTTACACACACTCTGGTTCGTGATGTACAGTGGTTTAATAAAACTACATATAAACTAACAACAGAACTTCACATCAGAAACAATAACACTTCACTAGATTTTAATACACAGTGTAACACATTGCTAAACTAGAGCACAGATCTCTATGTTCATTCAGCATGACTTAAAATACAGTTTAATTAGCAAAACCTGGACAGTTACAGAGGTAAGACACTGCTTACTATTTCTTCCCTGCTAGAATTTTATATCAAAGGGACAAAACTGGGTAGTTGCCAGAGACAATAGCACCAAAATCCTAACCACACTATCACTTCTTTTCTTGCCTAATAAGTGCCTAGGCCTACAGTCCTCAGTAAATGGTGACTATTTTGTTTTGGCTACATTTTCAGTTTGTTCTTCTACATCTCATCACCTCGCTAAGTTCTTGCTACATGCTACATGGTCATGCAACCGTCCCTAGCCTTCTCTACAACTATCTTAGCTCCTCTCTCTTCTACTCTATCTTTGTGTTCTCCGTCCTCAGTTTATAAGGCCCTGTATAACGAGAAAGACCGGCGGAGCAGGTCACTTTTAGTCAGCTGGATAGTGGATAAGAGATTTATTGCTGATGATAATTTTTATTCAGTTTCAAGTGAAAGTGAATCCATTTATCAAATTCAAAATAGCACTTTGCCTATCAGATTTGAATGCGCTCAAAGAGACAATAAGGGTTCACTGACTCATATCGCACACTCAATGCTGACGTCATCCAGGTCGCAAACGAGCAATTGCCAAGGAGGTTATTCTGGTTATAGTTATAGGCCCATGTGAGGCATCGTGGTGGAATCAGGCGCTCATGAAAATAATGAAATCAAAGAAAAAAGCATTTTTCTGCCAGTTCGTAAATTATTTTTGAATTTTCGTTTTTGGCTCAACACCTTTTATGTCCATTTAAAAACACATTTTTGTGTGAATTTTACAAAAAAAACGTTGATTAAAGGATCAAAAGATGTAAATTTTTATTTCCCAAGGACAATTTATTTTGGCGCTTAATTCATGTCCAGCTTGATGAAGAAACCATTTTTGTCAATTTACTCGACCAAAATTCCTGCTCGATTATCAAAAAAATTTGATCTAACAATTGCACCACTAGAAGTCAACCAGGGAGCCAGCACATGTGTGGTAGCCAGTGTGTGTCTGCAGAGATACAGATGCGTCACAGTCATGTTTCACTGTCTGTATCATTGAGTAATTTAAAACAAACTTCTTCAAAATTTTCAATTTTGTTGTAAATGGGTAAAGTGCGTTTTGCCATGGAGCCTTTCAAATGCTCTGTCATCTTCATTTTCATCCTCTTCTTTATAACTTTTACTACTGCGAACTCGCAAGTGGCAAAAGAAATCTCGGGAGGCCAAAAAAGCGGTTCAAAGACACGATAAAGGACAACCTCCAGTCTGTTGAGGTAAACCCCAAAGAACTCGAAAGAACTGCTACCAAAAGGAACGCCTGGTGCAGGGCCGTCCGTATTGCCAGCAGAAACAGCGATACAAACTACAGAGAGAAGCTGACTAACAGAAGAGAGAGGAGACATAAGCCAACTGCCACAACCACGACATTCCAGTGTCCCCACTGCAACAGACATTGTTCATCCAGGATCGGATTGCACAGCTACATGCGCATCCACAGATGAGCTGCAGGATTCATCATCATCTTCGGCAACGAAGGACTACCTACACATCAACTTCATCACTGTCACCACTGTAGCTATAGCTCTATCTACCTATGTCACCGCCATGGTAATTATCACCATTGTTACTGCAATCATTATCTTCTTCATCAGCACTATTGCTGTTTTCATCATCTTCATGCTTCCATTGTTCTCTATATCACAGGAGATAAAAAGCAGAATGCAGAGGCAAATTTTTTAAAAGTGTAGGCCTACATCTCAATGAAACTTTTGCAGTAAAGCACACTGAGCATTTGGCAGTGACAGAACTGTCGGTAGTGGTAAGAGAGACAACAACAGAAAGGTTAGCACTTTTTTAAAGTACAAGAGTCCTCAAAAGATACAAACTACTGACAGAAGACCTACCACTCAAAACAATCAATATCATTGATATCAATTGTAATGGTTTCCGTAAGATCACTCAAACATATTGAATCTAAACGACATGGGGTGTAAAGAGTGGGATATTGGGACAAAAAGCAAAAACTTTACAAAATTTATTTTAATAAAAAATTAAAAAAACAATGCGCGGAGAAGGGGACGGAGAGGGTTGAAAGTAATTAAAAGTCTTAAAACATACGTGGATCTGCTTGGTCTCAGTCTTATGCCATTCTGGTCCCCATGAAGGCTAACTGAGGAAGAAAGGTAATAAAAGAAAGTAAGACAAGGACCATCCAGGACCTACCTCATCAGAGCTTTGCACCATCATATCAGTGTGTGACATACATTGAGAGGGGGGGGGGGAGACTAAGAGAGAGACAGACAGACTGACAGAGTGAGACAGAAAGAAAGAGACACAGACAGAGAGAGGGGGAGAAATGGGAGAGATGGGTCGAGGGAGAGAGAGAGCGTGCATGTGCAAGTGCGTGCGTGTGAGTGTGTGTGTGTGTGTGTGTGTGTGTGTGTGTGTGTGTGTGTGTGTGTGTGTGTGTGTGTGTGTGTGTGCGCACGCGTGTGTGTGTGTGGGTGTGTGTGTTTGTGGGTGGGTGGCTGTGTGTGTGTGTGAGCATGTGTGTGATGACACAATGGAATTGGAAGTTAATCAATTTTTGGGCATTTTGATATTGATATCATCTCAAAGTGTATGGTCATTTGAAATTAACCTTTAATAAATCAGATTTGGCAAAATTCTGTGAAATTTTTAAAAACTTAACTCTTTCACCCCGAAATTATTTTCCATGTTTTGACATAATTTTTTTCCAGATCTCGCAAAACACATAACGGGGGATACACTCAAAATATTCCTAAAATGTCTAAAACTGTCAAAGTGAAAGAGGAAGTAGTTTATACATTCATCTAACACTTTCGGGTGAAAATAAAAATATATTCGTATTCATAATTTATATATATTCGTATTCATATGAGATTATATAAGCAGTAATACTAACTTCATGCACTGTGCAATCTGACCGGACGCCGAGACAGTTCCCCCAGGGACCGGGTGAGTTTCACTAGACCCTCCCATCGTCCATGTGGGTTATAGAGTCAAAAGTGTGTATGCCCAAGTATTACTTACTTGTCTTACTTGTCCACTGTGCTGGGGTCACTACAGTCGGAACATGTCCATCTCTGCTCTCCCCCCCCCCCCCCCCCCTCTTCAGGATCCATCCCAGAGTCTGTCTACTTATAGTCTCCATCATGATCTGGTTGGAGGTCCGTCGGACTGGTATAACCCAAGTATTGACGTGCACAAGCATTGGTGGAAGGGACACATATTGATATGTCAAATGAATGGAGAACATTTTTTGTTTGCGATAAACGATATTCTATTGCGATATTTTGAAACAGATTGGAACGCAGAGTAGTCACAAATACCACAAAAACTTGGATTTAACATTGCATGTGTTCATTGTTATTTTATTTAGGAGACTAAACATTACATGTGTTTATTCTATTATCCATTTGTGCTGGCCGAATTTTGCTATTCAAAAGGCTTTTTAATGGCTGCATCGATCGACATGCGGTTTTCGCCAAAAGATTCTTTAAAGTATTCTCCAGATCATGACGCTCTTCGTTTTTTCAGTTTTGAGACAGTTTTGCTGCAAAAAGCTAAATTTCCTTATTTCGCTGATCGCTTTTGTAGACCGACACTTCTGTCTCTGTAATTTTAGAACATGTTAGAATAAAAATCACATTATTATGGTCAAGGGGAATTAACTGAATTTATTATTAATAGTATGTATTATCTTTTTGTATGATTATTCTTAGTTATTTCTCTTGATGATATTAGTACCCTCTTCCTTGTTGAAAACTTAATTCTTCTTTATTATTGTTTTGGTGAACTTCCACTCACTACTCTTGTGTGGCATATATGATATGTGTCCTGAGCAAGTCAGTTGTAATAAATCCTCTCATCAAAGAACATTGAGTTGAAACATATATTTTTCCTCCATGTGAAATGGCAGCCTCAATAGGTTATGGGCCCAGGCAACGTATCCAGTTCAGTGGAGATGAAAGGAAGTATGAGCTATGGGAGATAAAATTCCTAGGCTTTATGAAAATTAGAGGTCTTAACGATGTTTTAAAAGATCTAGATCTAGATGAGAATGAAGCTGCAATAGATTCCATGAAAAATGAAGAGGTCTTTGCAGAATTAGTCCAAGTTCTTGATGACAGATCTCTGTCTTTAATATTCAGAGATGCCAGGAACGATGGCCGAGCTGCCTTAAAAATATTGAGACAGCACTACTTGCCAAAAGGCAAACCGAGGATTATAACCCTCTATACAGAACTTACGTCATTGGTCAAGTCAACCTCAGAGTCTATCACAGACTATATTATCAGGGCCGAGACAGCCGCAGCATCACTAAAAACTGCCGGTGAAACCATCCAAGATAGTCTCCTCGTAGCAATGGTGATAAAGGGATTACCCCAATCATACAAACCCTTCACCACAGTGGTTACTCAACGTGACAAACCAATTACCTTTTCGGAATTTAAGATAGCCCTCAGGAACTATGAAGACAACGAAAAGATCAAGCCTGTGCCACCAAAACCAACTTCTGTCATGATGACAAATGCGAGCTCTGCAGAATCCAGACCGAAACGTTGGTGTCGTAACTGCAGAATGAACAACCATGACACAGAGTACTGCAGACGAAATCCAGACCAAGGAGCGTCCAGCAAAGGACCCAAAAGAGGCAGATGGTGTGATCACTGCAGGAGTAACACACATGATACCAAGTTCTGCAGAAAGATATCCAAACTCAAGGTTGCAGAAACGGACGACCTCTGCGGCAACAATCGGGACGACCAATATGTCTTCACCTTCGACGATCTGTCACATACCAAGTTAAACTCATCCAGTCGTCATAAAACCGACTCCTTCCTGGTAGACAGCGGTGCAACCGTCCATGTTGTGAACGACAAAGCCAGATTCGTCAGCTTTCAAAATCAGTTTGACCCCGCTAAGCACATCATAGAGCTGGCTGATGGTACCAGATGTGCAAATGTTGCAATGGGACAGGGCGACGCAAATATTTCGCTTACAGACAACACAGGACGACGACGCAACGTAACGCTCACAAACGCTCTCTTCGTCCCTTCTTTCGCCCAAAATATCTTCTCTGTGCGCGCAGCAACTGAGAAAGGAGCATCAGTTCAATTCGAACAGCATTGCGCTAAACTCCATTCACACGGAACGACATTTGATATTCATAAAGATGGAAAGTTATATTTTCTCAATTCTTCGTCAAACACGAAAACATCCCGTCACAGCCTGAAGGAGTGGCATATTATTTTGGGACACTGTAATAAAGCAGATATCCTGAAGTTGGAAGCCAAAGCAGAGGGAATTATTATTACCGACAGAACCGATTTCGATTGTGAAGTGTGTGCTTTAGGCAAAATGCCAGACATCCGCAGTCGGAAACCAGACTTTTCTGCTCGAGGACCGCTGGATATTGTTCACATTGACCTAGCAGGACCCGTTGATCCACCTGACATCAATGGCATGAGGTATTCTCTTGTTTGTGTGGATAAATTCACTAATTTAATGTCTGTTTATTTCATACAGCAGAAATGTGATGCTGTCAAAGCTTTCAAGCAATATCTTGCTGACATTTCTCCCTATGGGAATGTGAAAATTGTTAGGAGTGATCAAGGGGGGGAATTTATTTCAAAAGAATTTAGTGCTCTTCTTAATCAAAATAAAATAAAACATGAACTGACTGCGCCATACTCTCCTCACCAGAATGGAAAGGCGGAGAGAGCATGGCGAAGCCTTTTTGATATGTCAAGATGCCTTCTTTTGCAATCTGGGCTTCCCAAAAACCTTTGGACGTATGCAACTTTGGCCTCAGCATACATCCGAAACAGGTGCTATCACAAAAACATTGATTGCACCCCTTTCCAAAGCATGACTGGGAAAAAGCCCAACATTGCAGACATGGAGACATTTGGCAAAGCCTGTTTTGCATTAACTCAAAATCCTAAAAAGCTTGACAACAGGAGCGAAAAGGGAATTTTTATAGGCTATGACAGGAGAAGTCCTTCTTACTTTGTTTACTTCCCAGAAAATCAACTTGTAAAGAAAGTTAGATGTGTAAAGTTTCTGAAGAACCAACATTCAGTTGAAGAACCTAACTATGTTGTACTGCCTTCAGACGACCAAGTCTTTGGCAAAGATGAAGTTAAAACAAAAGAAAGAGTAGTTGAAAATGAAATGCCTGAAACTAACAATCAGAATGCACCTGAGATTGAGACAGTTCATGACATTGAAAATGAAAATGAGCAAAGGGATGAGAACCATCCAGATACTGGTACAAAAGGGAGAATAAGTAATCCACCTAAATACCATAAAATGACTATGTTGTGGGAGACCAAGCTGATCACTTAATGAATGTTACTGTCCATTATTGTTTTGCAATGAATGTCCCTCAAAATTACAATGAAGCTATATCATGCAAAGAAGCTGAGAAATGGCAGCAAGCCATGGATGATGAAATGTGCGCATTGGGCGAAAATAACACGTATGATCTTACAACCCTGCCTATCGACAGAAAAGCAGTGGGGGGAAGATGGGTATATGCACTCAAAACTTCACCAAATGGGGAAGAAAGATACAAAGCCCGTTTTGTGGCAAAAGGTTTTTCACAAATTCCTGGAATTGATTATCAGGAGACTTTTTCGCCAACTGCCCGCATAGCATCAATCAGAACATTGATTCAATTTGCCATACAAAATGATTTATTGATTGACCAAATGGATGTTAAAACTGCTTACCTCAATGCTGATATTGATTGTGAACTTTATGTTGAACAGCCAGAAGGTTATCAAATGAAAAGCAAATCAGGACAGCAACTAGTCTTGAAGCTCAATAAGTCACTCTATGGGTTAAAACAAAGTGGCAGAAATTGGAATACCAAATTACACCAACACCTGACTGATCAAAGTTTTACACAATCACTAGTTGACTCATGTGTTTACACAAAGGGCAACCCAAACGATTCTGACCATGCGGTCATCATTGTGTGGGTAGATGACATAATCATAGCCACAAAAGATCAATCTCGCATGAATGAAATCAAAGAAAAGCTTAGCTCAACATTTCACATGAAAGACCTAGGCAAACTTTCGTGGTTTTTGGGTATTGAATTTATCTATGACCAAGGCAAGATCCACCTGAGTCAAAAGCAATACATAGACAAATTGCTATCAAAGTTTGGCATGACTGATAGCAAGCCTAAGTACACACCAAATGATGTAAATCTGAACAAATTCTGTGATGAACCAGCAGAACCTGTTGATAGCAAACATTACAGAGAGATAGTGGGTAGTCTTATCTACATTATGACTGCTACTAGACCAGATTTGTGCTACATTGTCACAAAGCTGTCCCAATACATGTCACGACCAAATAAAAATCCCATGATTGCTGCCAAAAATGTTTTGACATATTTCAAAGCAACAAATGACCAGAAATTGTCCTACAGCAAATCTGATCAACCTCTCACTCAAACTGACTGGTTTTTGTGACGCTCATTGGGGCAACTCCAGTGACAGAAAGAGCATTACTGGGTATGGGTTTATGTTGTCTGACAAAACTCTGATTTCCTGGAAATCCAGAAAACAACCCACAGTAGCACTGTCTACTTGCGAGGCAGAATATATGTCAATGTGTGCTGCCACACAAGAAGGTCTTTTTCTCAAAGCACTTATCAAAGACATGATGGGTATAAAATTTGAGACTTTCACTCTAATGGGTGATAATCAGGGAGCAATTGCACTTGGTAAAAATCCAGTGCAACACCAGAGATCAAAACACATAGACATAAAATTTCACTTTATCAGGAATGAAATCCAGAATGGAACAGTTGATATCCAATATGTGCCATCAGACCAAAATTGGGCAGATTTATTCACCAAACCTGTTACAAGAACAAAACTAGAAATGTTCAAACCCAACATTATGGGAGAATGAACAGTGAAATTACCAAAATTAAAGATCAGAAGCCTTTTATTGCTATGCTTATATAATGCAATAATCATTGTAAGCATTATTTTGTGTTTCTATGCATTGTCATTGTTACTATTACTACATGTACCTTGAAATTTATGAACACTTAATTTCTTTTAGTAACAAGCAACTATGATTTCTTCATGATTTCAATATTTTCTTCAAGTTATAACAATGATTTGTTAAAAGTAAAGCAATCATTAGATCATTTTCTTACAACATTTATGTCTACACATGAACACATTACTAATACTACCACTTTATTAAAATGCATCTTTACCTTTCTGTACCTCGAATCATTCTCACTCATTTACTCTTTTCTCCACAAACTTTATCTTGATGCCAATAACTTAAGAGTAACTTTATTGCTTACATGCAACATGAATTTCATTTCATATTTTGTAGCAATGGTATTTTATTATACTTGATTCACAGCTTTCAATGCTGATTTTTAGTGGGGGTGTTAGAATAAAAATCACATTATTATGGTCAAGGGGAATTAACTGAATTTATTATTAATAG